CTCGAACAGCTTTTCTGTTCGTTTTGTGGCCTCGCTAAGCTCTTAGACATCCTAGCAGGCCCCTGGGTGCTAAGAGAAGGGCTTGGCCTAGCGGGTCCACTGCGGCTCGCTTTCGTGCAATGCCTTTCACGGTCGCTCAAGAGCTTGCTGCGTCGTGGTGGTGGAATCGCTCACATGTGAGCAGTGGCTCTGAGAATGAAGCTGAGACACGCCTTGCTGACCGTGCCACTACGGCGTCCTTCAGGCCACGTTATGCTGCTGCATGCGCCCAGCTCAGCTCCTTCGCTACTGCTGTTTTGGTTCATCGCGTGAGCTGCTGCGGCGTATGGGGCTTCCTCATCGCGAAGGAGAGGATGGAGCTAATTTCTACTTGTCGGGAGGCAGACGGGATGTGTCTGCGACATGTTCGGGCTCACGGGCTCCCGCCGATGCCGCCGATCAGTGCTCCGTCTTCGACTTTTGCTCGGCCATGCTCTCTGGGGCGTTTTGCTCGGGGCTTTCAGCGGCAGCGACGCAAACACCTCAGCGCTGCTCTGTCCAGTCGTTTGCAACAGCTGCATCCTGTCTTCGACCGATTGGACGCTGCTGCTTTTGAAGATCTTGCTGCGGATCCTGTTTCAGGCTCCCAGGACGCGGATGCTATTCTGGCCGCCTATGGCCGGCAGGTGCAACGTGTGGACGACCTTTATGACGTCGTTGCAGAGCTCGGCCATCATCTTGCACTAGCTGAACTTCGCATTCAAGCTTTGGAAGCCGAACGCGAGGAGCTCTGAACCTATGAGGCCGACGGGCTTGTTTCTTCCTCGGCCTTATCGGCTATGATCAAGTGTACTATCTTCTGAGTGGGTTCAGCTGTCCTGGAAGGTTGGCTGGACTTCCTTAGGGGTAAGTGCTTCCCTGGATTGCAAGGCTTTATGGCTTTCGGGCAGAATTATTTCTTCAGGACTAGCTCTGCTGGTGTTATTTCGGGCTGGGTTCCCGGGGGGCACTTGGGTTACAGCGCACTTGCGATTGGTGCTTTGGCAGCGGGCCATGGCCATTGATCTTCTCACAGCCCATGATCGGGTTGACCCAAGCGAGCTGGAGAGTCCGTCACAAAAGCGTGATTGCGATCAGTTCCGAGACGCATTCCGGGCAAGTGAAGCAGGCAGTTTGTTGTCTGGCTTGAGCTCTCTGATGCGATGATCCCAGTGGGATCGGACATGATCAGCGATGGCGCATCCTTTCATGCTCAAGGAAGAGCATCTTTTGGGGCTATCATGCGATCCGGCCTCATGTGCAAGCCTAGGGTACCTACAAACAGACACAACAGCGGGGCATTCTTCCGAGCAGACTTTCAGGCCTCAGCTTAGGATCCACACATAGGGCACTCTTTTCTCACGCCAGTGGTAGGTTCATGCGCGAGGCTCTTGTGACGGAAAGCACAGATCTTCAGTCTTTGGCAGATCTTCGGATTCAGCTATCTGATCTGTCGGAAGTTATCACTCGTTCTCAGGATCGGGTTGCACTGCTGAGGGAGGACAATCGCCTCTTACGTGTCAGACTGGGCGCGTTGGAGGACCGAGTGGCCAGACTTGAAGATCAGGACCGTGAGGCTCACCTCCGTTTGCAACGACGCGTTCAGCCTAGCGATTGCGCGATTGGGTGTCTTACCACTCGGGTTCTTCATTTGGGGTCTTGCTTTCAATATTTGGTGGTTGCTATTCAGCGAGCTTTCCCTCGCCCTCCTGGGTTTTGGCAGTCCCTTGCAGAAGATTGAGCTTCAGTCTGGTGAGATGGCTGCGGAGCGATCCTCAATCGGCCTACGCCCTCGCTCAGGGGTTTTACAACAAGGGGGGCTTCCGCTGGCCTCTCAGGATTCGCCCTCGGAATCTTTTCCGCAGGCTTCAGACACGATGCTGCATCCGGGTGTGTCTTGCTTATTGCCTTTGCAGTTTGTCCCGAGACCAGTGGGCGGCACAGGTTTCAGTCGACCAAGACGGCTAGCGTCTCCGTCTAGAAGGCCGCACATCTTGGGGATTGAGGCAACTCCCCTTCAGGCACCTGCACCACGGCCGCGGTCTCGCCCTGTCATCTTTATGCAAGATCCCCTGCAGCCGCCTCGAACCAGGCGGGCTTCGGATTATGCGCAGTACCCTGAGTCGGACTTTAACACGAGGATCTCGAGCTCGGGGGTGTCGGGTGCTCACGGGGCACCATCCACAACGGCCTCAGTTCTGAGGCTGGGCAGAGGTCTTGTGGCGCCTTACAAAGCTAGGGGAGCACCGGGCATGCTTACATCAGCTGACACTCATAGTCGAACCTGGGAGCTATGCTTGCGTCAATGGTCATTGATCAGACCTTTGCTGCTCCCGCTTTCGGATGTTTTGGGTGAGCTGGAATCATCTTCGAACGCGGACCGTCTCCTTCGCAACTTGCTGAGCTCGGTTTCGGAGAACACTTTGACGAGGTATTTAGCCAATATCCACAAGTTCATCCTGGTTTCTGAGGAGTTAGCATTGGATCTCGGGTCTTTAAAGCAATTCAACATTGCGGACATTCTCTTGTCGTTGCATAGGGGGGAGGTCCACATCTCCAATGCTTTGAAAGCTCTNNGCCAAAGCTTTTCGCCTTCGGCTTCCAGATCTTTATGGCGGTCTTTTGCTGGGTGTAGAATCCAGGGTTCTTTCGGATCGCAAAGAGGCCTTGCCGCTCCCAATTTTCATATTGGCAGCTTGGGAACGTTTCCTCTTAAGCGAGGAGGGGGAGCCCGGGTTTCGATTGTTCATCGGGGGTCTTCTTGTTGCAGCGAACGCCAGCTTACGCTTCAGCGACTGTCAACATGTTTTATGGTCATCGTTACAAGCGGGCCGGGATTGTCTCAGGGCAATTTCGTACCGCACCAAGTCTTCTCGTCGCGGCATGCCCTTCGGCCTGGTCTCATGTGGATTCTACGGGGACATAGCGGCATATTACCACTCGTGGGTTTGCAAGTACCTGTATCTTCTGGGCTGTGAATGGGATCTTATTACAGAGCGTTTTGGGGAAACGGTTCCCGACGCCCTCTTCTTCTTGTCTGACGATACGGAGTGGAGACCGATGTCATACGCCCAGGCGTTATCGGCTTTCCGAGGTGCGCTGGTGGCGGCGGGGCTCTCGCCGCACGAGGCCGGAAACTACACATTGCACTCATTGAAGACATCATTATTGGCTTCGCTGGCTCAACTTCAGGTTTCGTTCAAGAAACGAGGGCTTCAAGGCCATCATCGGTCTTCGGCCAATGGGTGTGTCCTGCTTTACAGCCGGGATGATGTTCATGGCGCTCTTGCTCTTCAACAGATGTTCTGGGATAAAGTTCGGTCGGGCTGGTTGCCATTGACCCCACAAGCACGAGGCGGTTTGCACCCGGCAAAACAAATTCAGATCGAGCCTCAGGTGCTATCTTTCCACACCTCTCCAGCTCATTCACGTTTTCCTGTTGAGGACATTTCGGCTCTTCCATCGGCAACGCAGGTGGTGTCTTCGCCTCCTTCAGTCCCTGCACCGGAGGAGGTGGAGTCTGCGGGAGATTCGGATGTGGATTCATCTTCTTCGTCTACATCCTCGTCCGCACCATCGACCCAGCAGTCTCGCTCTTGGACGAAGGTGTCAGAGCAAGAGGCAGAGGAGTATCTTTGGGTTCAGACGTCTTCGGGGTTGATTCATTGCGCATCCCCGCATTGCGGCCTGGAGGGCATTGTGGTGGTTCGGCCAGATGGTAACAAAATCAGAGTGAAGCCCCGTTGCGGTACCATTGCACGGTCCATGACCGTTTTAGCTGAGCCGCCGCCAAATCCGCGTTTTTGCAGGCACAAGGCTTGCCAGGCGATAGTTTGGTCGACCTAGGCGGGTCGTATCGATTTTGGGTGCTCGGCGGCAAGTCTCTGGCGATCGATCGGGGATCGGGACCTGTATCAGTCTCGTCCCCATTGCGATCCCTCGTTTCCCGCGAGCGAGCGGGTTCACGAGGGGGACGGCGATCGGTCACAAGATCCGGGACAGACCCTGGGCGTGTCAAGCCAAAACCGCGTTTGCAACAGTGGGGCCTGCAGCGGGAGTCCACATGTGGAGCCAAGATCATGGGTCGTTTCCTGCAAGTCCATTGTTCGCTGCATGTGGGGTTCGGCGGTTGGGTCGTACCGTGCAGGTCCGTTGCCGCATGTGGGGTCCGCGGGATCGTCGTTCTCTGCCAGTCCCAATGCTGGACATTGCAAGCAATTTTCGTACCGGTGTGTCTTCGGACCACAGCCCTGCAGTCTTAGCGCCGGTCTAGCTGCGGTAGCTCGGCGGATCAGGGTTGTTTGGGTGGCACATGGCGACAGAGGAAGCGAACACCCTGGATGCGGATTTGATCTCCTTGGCAAAGGAATGTCGCGTCCCACAAGAGTATCATGAGATCTTCCAGGGATTTGATGTTCCTCTTTTCGGTTGCCTAGTTTCCGAAGCATCCCATTTGGATACGGCGCTGAGTCAATTATTGGAGAATTCGGAGGAGCCAGAGTCGGCAGCTGGCAAACTTCGTCTTCTCTCTTCGCTGCGGCTTCTGTTTGAATCATGCAAGAAACAATCCTCGATGGCTCCAGCAAACAAAAGGCCAGAATCATCGGAGGAAGCTCGTTCTTCGGCAGCCGGCTGGACGGAGCAGTTCCCACCTAAGCTTTCGGGCGAGAAGGTGATTTCTCTTCAGAAAGCTTTTCATTCTCGGTATCCAGGGGAGGTTCTGGATCCCGAGAACTTTCCTTCGTCGAGGCTACTTGCATATGCTGCCAAGATTGTCCAGAAGGGGGAGCTCAAGTGGGTGCCGTGGAAGATTAGAATGTGTCAATCTCAGCAAGATTCCATGGCCTTGCGTCGCCCCACAAAAACCCCGAAGCTGGAAGATCTTCTGTATGACGAAGTACCGCAGCGTGAAATCCCCTCGGGTCAAGTGGGGGCGAACTATCTTTCAGGGATCATGGGTCTTCTTTCGACATCTCTGGCAATGCTTAATGGGGCCCACTTGTCAGTTCTTCGAAANNGAGCGCAAATTCATCCGGCTGGCCACTCAGAAGATGGAATCTGGACTTCGCAACCCCTCTGGGGAGGAGATCATGATGGCGGACAGACAATTGTGGGGTCAGATGAGTGACCTGGTGAACCTACACAATTGGTCTCTGGATGACGCGCTGACAGAATACACAGAGGTGAGAGGGGACATGGCTTCCCTTTTGCAGCCCAGGATGGCTCCTCCTCGGCGCCCGGATCCTCCAGCTCCCCATCTTCGCACCGGCCGGGGCGGCAAAGGCAAGCATAAGGGGGAAGGCAAAGGGAAGCATTCGGCAAGCGGCCAGGGCCTTCAGTCTTCGACAGGGGGAGCCAAATGGGTGACGAAGTTTGAGGACAAGGGCAAGACCCGCTTCTTATGCAGGGATTTTTCTTCACAGAAGGGCTGCTCTTTTCCGGATTGCAAATTCGAGCATTTGTGTCCGGCGCCTCGCCCGGATGGCCGCCCATGCCTGGGCAAACACCCTGCTTACCAGCACAAGGCTGCTGGCCACTGACTCTCGGACGATTCTGATGTTCGCACAGGTCGCCCTGATGCTGTGAATTTGTGCAGTTCAGATGCCGCTGAGCAGTTCGATTGGGACACTTGCCTTCGGGTTCTTCAACAACATTGTCCCCTGTCGGCCCCTCTTCTTCGATCTCACGTTCTCGAGGCTGGTCGTTCTCAGGCGAGCTATTTCAACGCTGGGGCCCGCGCGGGATCACAAAGTGGGATATGCAATTTTACCTTTCAACATGAGCTTTTGGTCAAGTATGTGAACCTTTTTCTTCGGACGCTCTTTTCGGAAGCTACATGGACAAGCTTCTGCATTTCACACAACGAGTTTGCGCATCTTCACTCGGACCTTAATTTTCCAGGATCGATGAATTACACTTGCAGCCTGGGCCCTTTTGACCAGGGTCGCCTTTGGGTTCAACTCCCGGCGGGGTGTCTTCCGCATCTTGAGCGAGTTCCTCCTCCTGACTCTACGGCGGACTCCTCACTCCGAGGGGTTCTTGTCAGCACTAGGCGATCTGGCTTTGCTTTTGATGGTCGTCTTCCGCACTGTTCAGAGCCGTGGTCAGGGGATCGCTGGGTGATCACAGCCTACACTTCTGCTACCTGGCATTCCTTGTCGGAGGTGGATTCGAAACGCCTGGCGGATCTCCATTTTCCTATGCCAGCCAAGGAGGATTCGCCGCTTTCCCAAGGTTCGGGGCCGGCTCCCGCTTTGCCGAGCCCTCCAGAGATTTTGGATCTCCAACAGGTTCAGGGCAATCTGTTCGTGGAGCTTTTTTCGGGTTCATCTCGGCCGTTATCTGCGGCCTTTTTGCAGGCTGGCACATCGGTGATGTCTTTGGACATCCTTCGCAGCGCCACGCATGACTTGACGAAGGACTCGGTCTTCGAGCTTCTCCTTCGCTTGGCCTTTTCGGGTGCGATTTCTCTTCTGCATGCAAGCCCTCCTTGCAGAGATTACTCCAGGTGCAAGCTGCGCAAAGGCCCGGGCCCCAAGCCTTTGCGCACGCCGGCTCACATGGCTGGTGTACCGGGCTTGTCGTCGGCTGACAAGGCGCGCTTGGACCTCAGCTCACAGCTCATGTCTCGCGCAGTGGAATTAGCCCACGCCACGTTCAAGGCCGGCGGCCACTACACCTTTGAGAATCCAGCCAATTCGATGATCTGGGATGAGCCCGCGGTTCGACTGCTACTTCAGAAGAGCAGTGCAGATGTAATCATTGTCTCGGCCTGTGCATACGGTTGGGATATTTACAAGCGCTGGGCTTTTGCTTCTACTTTCCGGGACATGCAGCAGCTCGCCTCTGATTGTCGCCATCCGGACGGGTCTCATGCCCAGGTGGCTGGTGTTTTGGATTCATCCGGCGGCTTCATCTCTCAGCAGACTTCGGAATTTCCGGAGCTCCTGGCGGCGAAGTATGTGTCATCGGCTCTCCCTCTGTTTCAGAAGTCCGAGCATCCGGTGGATGTTTCCCTGGAACAACTCTTGCAATTATTACCGACCAAAGGTCAATTTGATCCCCCGTTTGCACATCAAGACGGGGCTGGCATCTTTTCGGTTCCAGACTGGTCTTTCCCTCCTTCGGGCGCAGTGGACAAGCTGGGTCAAGTCAGACAGGCCCTTATGTCCAAGCTCTTTGCGATGAAGGCTCCTCTTCGGCTTCGCGAGCATGTGGCCTCCAAGGCTGAACAGCCTCTATTCTCGGACCAGGAGGTTGCAGAGTTTCGGGCGGTGTTTCAGGAATTCTTGGAAGCATCGTCCGGTCAAAGGGTGGACTGGTCGGTCAAACCTCACCAACCATACGCTCTTCAAGCATTGCATCAACTTTCGGAAGTTCTTGATGACCCCGATTCCTCTTTGTTCCCAACTTTGTTGGAGGGCGCCCCTTCAGGGTACTTTCAGGACATTCCTCCCAGTCGGGTTTTCATTCCTCTGGGAAGCGATTCAGCGCCTCCGACAGATCAGCTGGTGGTTCACAATTCCAACTGGAAAGGTGCCCGGGACAACCCGGAGGTTTTGGAATCTTTGATCCAGGAGGAGCTGGCGAATGACTACATCGAGGAGGTCTCTCTAGAGGAGGCTCGGCGTCGCTGGGAGCATGTTGCAGTGGGAAAATTAAATGTGGTGATAGTCCCGGACAAGAACCCTCGTCTCACAGTGGACGAGACGATTTCAGGCGTCAACCCATCATGCTGCGTCCCTGAGCGTTACAATCTTCCAGGCCTTTCAGACCTCCAGGCGGGTTATCCACTTCGGGGTCCGGCTTCGATCCTAGGGGTTTTTTCCCTGGACGTCAAGGCAGCTCATAAGTCCATTCTTTTGCGCGAGCGGGACAGAGGTCTCGCTGGCATTACTTTTCAGGACAGGACCTTCTTCTACAGGGTCATGCCGTTCGGCATGTCCTGCAGCGCATATTGGTGGCAGCGGTTATCGGGCTTCCTGGTACGGACGTGGCACAACCTTCTATGGTTGAGCCATTTCCTGAGTATGTACGTCGACGACCTCATCTTGGCAATGCAGACTGGGGCTTTGGACATTTCGGCGTGCTTGATCCTGGCGTTTGCTGCAGCCTTCGGGGTTCGCCTCTCATGGCCCAAATTACAACTGGGTTCATCGGTGGTCTGGATAGGCTGGAGCTTGAACTACCGTGCAGGGACGGTTCAGGTTACTGCAACAAAAAAGGAGAAACTAGCACGCGTTCTTCGTCCTCTTTTGGGAGAGGGTAGAGTGGAGCTTCGAGACCTTCAGAAGGCGCTGGGATTGCTTCAGTGGCTCACTCAGTTACACGTGGAGCTGCGTCCTTGGTTGTCAGTTCTGTACGACGATGCCACTCGTCCCCCAGCTACATCTTACTCCATCGACCCTGCTTTCTGGACTCAGCTGCATGCGTGTTTGAGCGATGCCTTGGTCTTCATCACTGTCCCTCCTGGCACAGCCATTCCTTTGGGTTCTAAGCTGATAAGCGCTCGCCACGTCGACATCGCATGCAAGGCTGATCTGCGGAAGGTTCCCTTGACCTCTAAAAGGATTTGGCTCCGCATTGCAGACCCAATGGCACGCTTCCGTCGGCTCTCCAAACTGAGCAGGAAGCTTCTGTATTTCTGGTATGATTGGAGCCAGTCTTATCACTTTCATGAGTGTCTTCATTTGCCTCCGCGTCGCCTGGATTTCATCATGGCGGCGGACGCTTTTGCTTCGGGCGAGGAGCTTGGCATCGGCGGTTTCATCGAGTTCCCGGGCTCATCACCGATATGGTTCAGCGAAAGATACAGCTTGTCGGACTTCAAGTACCTTGATCTGCCTCTTCATCGCGATGCTCAGAGGGACATATCTTGCTGGGAAACATTGGCTCAAGTGGGCCTGATGCTTCTTTTTGCTCATTTCTGTCCTGGTGGGCGCATGCGACTGACACTGCCATCTTTTTCGGATAACACAGGCGCAGAAGCAGTATGCGCGAAGCTTCTGACGACCAAGACTCCGCTTTGCTTTTTTGCACAGCTGGTGGCGATGGTCAGCACACGTCTGGGCATTCGGTTGGACGTTCAACACATTTCTGGCGAGCGGAATATAGACGCAGACCTGCTTTCCCGCTGGGATGAGAAGGCTCCTCTCGAAGAGCGTTGGAATCTTGATATTCGGTATCGCTTTTCCGTTCAAGATTTCTTCGACCAACGGCACGATATGAGACTTTTTCCTTCGGATGCCAGAATCCTTTGGAAGCTCCCGCGCTGAGCTGGAGCTATGCTGCTTGTAGTCAGTCGTCTACTCGTGTCTTTTCCAAAACGCGGTTCTCGTCTCACTTAAATGTGGGGCGTGTTACCGGCGTTCCGTTCTCCTTCGTTTTGGCAGTGGCAGTTTCGGCTGGGGCTTTTAGTTAGCTGTCCCCGGTTACGAACTTTGCGGTTTGACTTTACTCACCGGCGACATCCCACCACTGCCAAAATGAAGGATGGTCCGAGTGTAGTGCGAGGGTCTCCGTGAGTCGTTGGAATATTTCATTATATATTTCGTATACATGTTTTTCATATATACCGTCTTTTGTTTTGGGAGACTCTCGATTTCTTTGGTACGCTACCTCTTTATAGAGTGCTATGCTTTCAGTTCGCGCTGCCCAAAGTGTTTTGTT